ATTTTCACAAACACAAAAAACGCATTAAAGTAGATCAACAGAGAGAGACAGAAGCCATACCAATGAGAGAGAGCACAGAGAGCGACAGTACTGAAGCAGAGAGAGCTCAAGCACAGCGACAGAGAGAGAGCAGTAAGAGCGAGAGAGAGTAATAAGAGCGAGAGAGTAGTAAGAGCGAGAGAGAGAGCAGGGAGCGAGAGAGAGAGCAGGCAGCAAGAGTGAAAGGTGTTAAGTGTAACAAGCGTGATTGCAAAAGACGGGGCTGGGGAGATTTTATATAAGTTTTAAAAATGTGGTTACAAACCACGCTTTCACTTAAAGAAAAAAAATCGTATAAAAAGCGTGGTTCACAAACACGCTTTCAGAAGAAATTTTTTTTTGCCAAAAAGCGTGGTTCATAACCACGTTTTCAGAAGAAAAAAATTTAAGCTAAAAGCGTGGTTCGTAACCACGATTTCAGAAGAATTTTTTTTTTTGGTTAAAAGCGTGGTTCACAACCACGCTTTCAGAAGAAAAAAAATGTAAGTTAAAAGCGTGGTTCAGAATAGCGATTTCAGAAGAAATTTTTTTTAATTAAAAGCGCCTTTTATAACCGCGCTTTCTTAATTAAAAGCGCGTTTTGTAACCACGCTTTTAAGACTTCTCAATTCTCACGCGGGACAGGCGCACAGACGTGAAAGTGTGGTTCTGAACCACGTTTTAGCCTATTTTGAGAAATCTTTCAAAACTAGTCCTAGTTTGGAAATTGAATTGATAATTTGGCTTATTTAGGGATATGGCCCCAATTCCTAACCTATCATCTCCCCCACACAATAAATATTTCAGTCTGTTTTCAAAATTTAATAGCTTATCCAATCATTTTTGGAAAAATTAATGAAATATTACTCTCTAATTTTGTGGGTAGTATAAGAGATTCAAGATATTTTTTAGGGTAAATTATCAATAGGTCATAATAGTTAGACTTAATTTCCATCAAGTCTTGTTGAAAATAAGTCTTAATAAAATTGTCGTTAAAAAAAAATTTTGTCATAATTTTTTATATGTCGCTAAAAATTGACAATTAGTGACTTTTTTGTGTCATGATTTTTATAAATTATCGCTAAAACTTACAATTAGTAACATTTTTTATAACAACTTTTTTTCATAGGATCTATTAGACAATAAGTCCACTTATTATGACTTACACGTAAGTATGCCTATTTTTTATTAGCTAAGGCTCTTTAATATTTTTACAAAAAAATTTGATTCAGAGAAATTTTTCCTGACTCACAGAAATTTTAGCTGTGAATTTTGAAATTTCTTTAAGTCGGGCTGAAATTTCTTTGATTCAAGTAAAATTTCTTTGAGTCAAATTTTCTCTATAAAACTGTTGAGAGACCTTACCTACTATAAAAATATTATATATCCTTCATCTTATAAAATCATAATGTTAAGGACCTTAAAAAAAAATTCGCGTTGTTTTACTTCATTTTATGTAATTCTATTGCAATAGTATTGCAACAGAATTTAATATTATAAAATGGGTGCAAGTCTGCTTTCAAAATTTAATACCTTATCCAATCATTTTATGAAAAAATAATGAAACATTCCTCTTTAATTTTGTATAGTATGAAAGGCTCAAGATATTATTTTTATTAACTAAGATCTCTCAACATTTTTACAAAGAAAATTCAACTCAGAAAAATTTTACTCGACTCAGAGAAATTTTGGCTGTGAATTTCGAAATTTCTTTGAGTCGGGACCAAAATTTTGTCCGAGTTAAGCAAAATTTCTTTGAATCAAATTTTCTCTGTAAGAGACCTAACCTACTATGAAAATATTATATATCTTTTATCTTATAAAATCTTAATATTAAGGGCCTTAAAAAAAATTCTCATTTTTTTACTTCATCTTTGACTTGGCAGTTATGTAATTCTATTGCAATAGTATTAAGGCTCAAAATTTTAGCTGAAGATAAAATTTAAAAAATAAAATAAAATAATTTGTGTGTTTCAAATTAACACTTATACAGTGTAACTTATATTATAAGGGCTGGTTTGTAAATTGATTTTTTAATAATTTTTAAATTTTTACGAAAAGATATCTAAAGAAATAAAAAGAATAAATTAACTTTTGACTAAAAGTCTAACTTCCCAAACAATGCCTAAATAAATCTGATCATGTTTTTCTTACTCTTTTTTATTTTTTTTTTGGGAGGGGTTCCATGCTATTACTAGCGTGAAATAGTACTAGTCTTATGAAAAAATAATTTGATACTATTTGTGTTAGCTCCTTTCGTAATTTTATTTTATTTTTATAGATTTGATTCATATAATATACAATAAAATTCAATAAATTACAATCGTAGTAGTGAAGATCAAATATAGTACAAGCTTCTACAAAGAAACTAGCAAAAAAAAAGAGAAAGTCCCAATTAACACATGAGAATAAGACCCACACGTAGCTTCTAATTAAATGTAAGAGTTTTGACCAATCAGGCTATTTGGTTAGCTCATTTCTTATGTAACAACTAATAATTAGGCCCATATTAGTATATAACATGTGTTAAAAAAAATTAAAAAAACATGAGCCCAAATATTTAGTCTCATTGATTAAATTTTCAGATTAGTGAATTAAAAATTATTTAAATAAAATGAATTTCAAAATAAATAATTTTGAATCTTTAAAATTTATTTTCTCCTAACAAAATAGGAAAATAATGAGTGTTACGTACTTTTATTTTTTTTTTTCAGCAAATTAGTTTTTGAAAATTATATATATATATATATATATATTTGAAAATGAGTACATCACATGTTACGGCCTCTTGTGGAATTTTTTTTTAATTTTTAATTTTTTGCTTTTTTAGTTCGGCTTATTTTCATCTTTAGTAATTTTTAAAAAATTTACAACAAATTTTCTTACTTTTTGGATTCATTTTGACTAGATGATCTTACATATTTAAAAAAAATACTTCGAAAAGACCAAATATGTCAATTTTTATATTAAAAATCAAAAAAATATAAATATTATAGTTTTTAAGCGTATCTAAATTAGATATATCTACAAAATAAATAAATAAAAATTGTATAAAATATTTTTTAAAAAAATACTAAAAAACACATAATTGGGCCATAAAGAGAAAAAAAAATAGGCTACATAAAATTAGGCTAACGACTAATACATATACATATATTTTATATTTTATTTTTTTAATTGGACTAACAACTAAAACTTATAAATATTTTTCAATTAGGCCTTTTATCAATTGGGCCAAATAGATTTGTTGAGGCCTCCTTTAAAATGGCTTAAATTAATAAAACAGAATTAGACCATCTTAAAATTTTAATATAATACAAGACTAAATTTGGGGGTCTTTTTTTGGGCCTAATTTTTGGGGCCCTAGGCACAGGCCTTACCAGCCTTAACCCAGGGCCGGCCCTGTTCATCTTTAGTAATCTTTAAAAAATTTACAACAAATTTTCATACTTTTTGGATTCATTTTGACTAGATGATCTTAAATATTAAAAAAAATACTTCGAAAAGACCAAATATGCCAATTTTTATATTAAAAAAAATGTGACTTATTTGCATCTTTCATGGTTTTTTTTTTTTCAATTTTTTTTCTTGATTCTTAGAATCGTCTAGCGTGGATAGACTTAAAAATAAGTATTCATAATGCAATAATAAACTGAGGGGCAGTTTGGCAACATGCTAAAAAAAGCTAATTTTTTGATTTTTTAGTTTTTTTAACCAAAAAAATCACGAAAAAACCTAAAAAGATAAAAATCAATTTTTTAGTAACTTTTCAAAATACCGCTGACCTTTTAGTTTCACCCATCAAAACATTTGGCAGTAGTTATTTTTAATTACTTTTGTAATTTTATAAGAAAAAATCTAGATAATAAGGTATTGAAATTTTTAAAATAATAGATCAAATTTGAAGGGAAAAAAATAAAAGAAACAAAAATTAGACCAAAGTGACCATTTAAAATTTTTTCTTTTAACTTTTTCAAATTTAATTAATTTTTTTATTAATTTTATAATTATCTAGTTTAGTAGAAATTAAAAAATAAAAATTGATAATATTTGAAAAACTCATGGGTTCGTTTGGGATGCGGGTTGACTTTTTGGCTATTTTAATCCGGGGCTAAAAAGTCTCGTTTGAAATGAGTTTTTTAGCTTTTTTAACTTTTATGAGAGAAAAAATAAAATGATTATAGTTTAGATGTGACATTTTGTCTTATTTATTTTTTAATTTATTTTGTTTTTTTTTTGTGTGACTATTTTAATAAAAAAAAATTCCGAACTTTTTCTTCCCAAATGAGGGCATTGTCTACTATTTTGAGATGTCTCATATTCAGAGCACACTTTGGGCCCGAAATATTAGAGTCGGTCTTGAATGAAGGTCTTGGAACTCTCTACGTTTATAGAATGAAACTTCAACGTCTACTATTTTGAGATGTCTCATACTCAGAGCACACTTTGGGTCCAAAATATCAGAGTCGGCCTTGAATGAAGGTCTTGGAACTCTCAACGTTCATAGAATGAAACTTCAACAATGGACATCAATAGAGGCACGATAAGGTTTCTCCTATGAAGGGATACCCATGTGTCTATTTATTTAAAAAAACTAAATATATTAAAAAGATAGTAATTGAAAGTCAACTTTATAAAAATTAATTTACGAAAATTTTAAAGATAAATTATTTTTGAGAAAATAATAAAAATATTTTTCTTAAAAGATGTTTTACTTATGTTTTGCTCAATCAAACAATAGAAAATAAATAAGATATTTTCGATAAAAATATTTTTATATTAAAACAAACGAAACAGTGTTTCCATAATTTTTTTTAAAAAAAATAAAATAAAATAAATACAACAAAACTTGACCATTTATGGACTTGAGAGAGAGAGAGAGAGAGAGAGAGAGAGAGAGGGAGGGAAGGAGGGGAGTGGGATTCCCTGCCCATGTAAAAAGGGATTCTATTTAATGAAAAATATTTACACCACACCACACCCATTTCTTGCAGCCCCACCCTTAGCGTTTGAAATACAAATGCAAAATCCAAACAAGTAGGGAGAGGGAGAGGGAGAGGGAGAATCCAGGATCTACATACCCCATTTCTCTCAGCAGAACCAATCATGCCATCAGGTTCAAAGAAGAGAAAAGCTGCAAAGAAAAAGAAGGAAAAGGACGCCAACAACTCCACAACTCACTCTCATGGTAACCCTCTTTGGCCTTCCCTATGTTACCCATCTCTCAATCACACCCACAATCTTATCTGTCATATCTTTAAGTATTCATATTCGTGTGAAATTGGCTTGGTCTTGTTAAATTGGCTTCGTGGGTTGGGTAGGCTAGTAAGTTAATGTTTCTTGGTTGGCTTGATTTAAATTACTCTTACAAGTACTCGACCATCTGTTTCTCAATTATATATTCTCTACTTTTAATCCATGGTTTATAATATTTGTAAAAAAAAAAAAGAAAAAGAAAGTGTATGTAATTGTTTATATGAGTGTTTCTGGCTCAGATCACTTTATGGGTGTTCCTTATTATTATATGTATGTTTTCTAATTATCTATGCGTGTGTTTGTGTGAAAATAGTATGATGGGTATGTGTTAATTTGTCTTTTATTTTGTTGGATTTATTTAAAGGTACCAAGCTTATCACTTTTTGCCACAAACCCAATCAATCAATGCATGCACATCCATCTTTCTCTTAATCATCCTTTCTCAGTTTATAATTGAGAATTATGGGAGTTTTTTACTTGATGTATCTTGTTTTACTCAATTTTGTCTTGAATTATTGTGAATCAATCATACTATGTTAGGAGATGAAGATCTGAAAGTCCATGATGAGAAAGAGAGTGATGGAGGAGAGGGTAACTCTCCTGCATCACAGGACCACCATAACCACCAGCATCGATTTACTGAGGGAGAAGAGGAGGGGATGGAGCAGAGAGAGGACATTTCATCTGTTAGATCAATGGTCACCGAGAATGAATCCATGGTAGGAGTTAACAGCAATGGAGACAGTACAGAGGAAGTGGCGATGAAGGAGAACAATGCTCAAATTGATTGGGAGTTGAAGCATGAGGCTGATTCTGACAGCAAGAACGGTAGTATTGAGTATGTTGAGTCTGTGAAGGAATCACATGGTGGACGAATGTCTCATGATGGTGGGAGGTCCAGCAGCAGCAGCAGTAGTTCGGACGATGAGTCTCATGTTGTTGATAAAAACATAGTGGTGATAGAATACAGGGAATCAAAAGAGAATGCTCTTAATTCGGTTGCAGAATCGGATGCTTTTGAGGATGTAGTAAAAATAGCTGGTTTGCCTGAAATAACTCCTGTTACTGATGGTGTTTTGGTTATTGAGGATTATAATTTGGCTGTGGATGAGCCAAAAGAAGAGGCATATGATACCCCTTCTGTAAATTTAGTCAGGCCAGCTGATTTGCCGGAAGTAACTGAAGTTACTGATAGTGTTCTGGTTATGGATGCTTATAATTTGGCTGCGGATGAGCCAAAAGAACAGTCATATGATGCCCCTTCTGTAAATTTAGTCAAGCCTGTTGATTTGCCGGAAGTTGCTCAACTTAAAGATGATGTTCCGGTTATTGAGGCTTACAGTTTGGTTGTTGGGAAGTTGACAGAGGAAACCTATAATTCAGTTGTGGAAACTATCCCTGTTGTTGGGTCAGAGAATGTATCTAAAGAGGTGGTTCGTGCAAATGATAGTTCGACAGTGGAGAGTGCTATATGTTCTAATTTGCTTGAATTGGGGTTGAAGGAAAATCGAAAAAATGAGACTTTAGGGGTTTTACCAGTTGTGATGGATATGGGATCACAACCAAAGAAGGATAAAGTGATTTCGACAGCAGTTGAGAGTTCTGCAGTTTCTTCTGTTGCAACGGCCTCTTCAGCACGAGTGGATGAAGACAAACTGTTTCCGTCATCCAGTGTTCCAGCAGTTGATAATAGTAATGGTGCAGACCTTATAAAAGATTCTGTGATTATTACTGAAGCCTCTGATAGCCAGGTACTACTTACCTTCTTTCTTCTTGCCCAGTTCAGTTTCATTTGCTTGCTTCAACAAGCACTGAAAAAAATGATAGCTTTCCTATTATCTTTTATCATATTTCTGTTGAAATCATTTGCAGCCTTTGGTAGCGTCGGCCCCACGACCAGTGCAAACACCATTCTGGAAGAGTTGTTGTGGACTGTTGGAGGTGTTTGCAAGCTCCAATAGATAATTACAGGTATGAGACTTTTATAAATTTCAAAATAGATATGTATTTATTTCGATTACTTTATGTATCTGGAATGAACTACATTGTTTAGTTTAAGCTAGGTTTATTACGTTGTTATGTATTCTGGTTGTTCTTTGCTCATTATTGGTCCTCCTTGATTTCTCTTCAATAACTCTGTTGCATGATTTATTTATTTATATTACATCCTATAAATGTTTTGATTGTGTATATAGAATTCGGAGTTATGCATTTATAAAAATGGATGAAAAGAAGTTTATGAGGCCATTTAGTAGCTGAGGCTGGTATTTAACTAGTAACATTTTTTAATAAAAAATCTGTAATATTTCTAGGCCAAATAGTAAATTGCATGTTTCTATACCATTTGCATACCAACTCTTCTTTCTGGTTTGCTTCTATTCTTTTTCACTATAATTGTCAATTTTTGTTATGCCAAGTGGACAAAGAAGTCTTGAAATGTATTGTTTTACTTTGTTAGGTATGTTTGAAACCCCTTAGGTAGAACTCACCCTTCAAAAACACCTTGCAAGGGTGCTAAAGAGGATTATATTCAAATGGCAAGCCTTTTGTGTTCTGATGTGGAATCCTAACATGCCACTGCACTCCACAGTCGACATCCACGGTGGCCCACTCTATCGATATTAACCCAATGGTAGCCTTTTACCTTTCAGTGGCCTCACTCACTTATCAGTATTCAACACCTTAACAGGTATCTTAATCCAACCTATAGGTTGCCCTCTCTACAGCTCGAACCACAAAGTCGCACCCATCCGATCCCTACTTGCATAGGTGCATCTGATCCCATACCCAATGTGGTGGCTAGCTCTTATACCAAATGATTTTGTAACTTTGCATTTTTGGCTGTTGGTAGAGGAAGTTGAATGCACAATGTAAACAGCCTGCCAAGTTACTAGGACATGTTTTTATTATGCAGAACTAAGCTTATTTGTAATTATAAAAAAGAATAAAACACAGATTTTATTTGTGAATTCTAAAGGATTGCTTTGACTAGTGGATCATGTGAGTACCTTAAATAGTAAATAGACTTTGTATGCTTGCATTTTTTGTTCTTTGGATCTAGTCTCCTTTTGAACCATAATGTAGATCATTTATTCATGTTTCATGTGTACTCATTGCAAATTGCCTGGCTATTTGATTTACTTATTATTTTTCTTGTGATTAGTAATCATTTGGTTAATGTTCATGCATAAAAAATTAAACGAATTAATACATGAATTTAACATTAGAAACTTGTTAGTACATCCTTTTTGCTACTAAAAATTCATTTCTGAATCTCCAGATATAAGAATAGTTTTTATTGGTTTTCTCGAAATATTAAAGAATGCATTATACTCCATGACCATTTAGTAGAATGTTTTGATTGTATATATATGCCAAATAGTAAATTGCATGTTTCTATGCCATTTACATACCAACTCTTCTTTCTGGTTTGCTTCTATTCTTTTTCACTATAATTGTCAATTTTTGTTATGCCAAGTGGACAAAGAAGTCTTGAAATGTATTGTTTTACTTTGTTAGGTATGTTTGAAACCCCTTAGGTAGAACTCACCCTTCAAAAACACCTTGCAAGGGTGCTAAAGAAAAAAAAAAAAAAAAAAAAAAAAACACCTTGCAAGGGTGCTAAAGAGGATTATATTCAAAATGCCAAGCCTTTTGCGTTCTGATGTGGAATCCTAGCATGCCACTGCACTCCACAGTCGACATCCACAGTGGCCCACTCTATCGATATTAACCCAATGGTAGCCTTTTCCCTTTCGGTGGCCTCACTCACTTATCAGTATTCGACACCTTAACAGGTATCTTAATCCAACCAATAGGTTGCCTCTACAGCTTGAACCACAAAGTTGCACCCATCCGATCCCATACTTGCGTAGGTGCATCTGATCCCATACTCGATGAGGTGGCTATAACGTGATAATTTCATAAATAAATCTAAACGGTCTATTTACGTTTAATTCATGTGAAACCCATGTAACTATATTAGTCAATTAATATAAATGAATTCGAAATCATATTCAAATTCAATATAGCACCCATGATAGGTACAAAAAGAAATGTACTATTGAATCAATTATGATTCAGTATTATGCGATATGGGATAATTTTTGAGTCATACATATAGGTTTTGGAATCATCACTCTTTTGTCAGTGTGTCTGTGCTGCACGGGGGGCTTTTTTTTTGTTGGGATTTGTTGTGCTTTTAATGGTCTCTTGGATAACATTCAGTATGTTTGGTTTTAATTTTTTAAATTTAATTTTTTTTAAAATTAAAATTTTTTTATTCTTTATTTTTTTTTGTTTTTAATAAATATTTTTAAAATTTTAAGTAATTTTTTTTATATTTTTTTAGATACACCTTACTTAGATGTATCTAAAAAGTAAAATATTTGTAAACAAATTAATAAATACATAAAAATATGAAAAATGTACTGAATTCTCATATTTTTTTTATTTTTATTTTTTGTAATTTTCATATTTAGTGAATTTTCTAAAGATCTTTTCACAAATATTATACTTTTTAAGTGTACTTATATTAGGTGTATCTAAAAATTAAAAGAAAAAAGTGTTTATAATATTAAAAAAATTCAGTAAAAACAAAAAAATATATAAAAAATAAAAAATTTTAATTTTTTGAAAAATAAATCCTAAAAATTCAAATCAAACAAACTGATTGGCTTTACAAAGATTGCCACAAAATCAGGAGGATAAAGAGTTGGCCAAATCCATAACACCATGTAGATGTGGGTTTGACCAATACTGTTGCTTGACATCTGTACTCTCTCTCTCTCTCTCTCTCTCTCTCTCTCTCTCTCGTAATGTTTTAATTAAAAAATTTTATTTTTTAAACTTTGAGTACAAAGATTGCCACAAAATCAGGAGGATAAAGAGTTGGCCAAATCCATAATACCATGTAGATGTGGGTTTGACCAATACTGTTGCTTGACATCCGTACTATAACTCTTATATTTTGAGTCATGTAAACACATGACTCAAAGTTGAGTGATCACACAATTAATGTGGTGTTTCAAAAAGACTAAACAATAATGCCTCACCAAAACCTAAGTGAAACATGACTATTCGAGCATTATCAATAGATATGGTAAAAATAATTTTCAGTGTGCTATAAAGTGACAAAAATATAACTTAATTTTGTATGTCAAAGATTTGTTAATTTAGTGAGTATATAAATATTATAATAAAAATGTTAAAATGTGTTAAAGTAGTGATAGATTAATGTGGGGGTAGACTAGAATATATAAATGTGTATATAGGGAGTGAATAAAATAATTTAAATTGATTTTTGGGTTATTTTCTTGTTGAAAAGTCAATATTTTAATCACATGGGATTCACAAATGCTAGCAGTTGTGTTAACAACATTAGCACATCAGATAAAAAAAGCAATTTCCTACTACTTTTTTAGCACATCAGATAAAAAAAGAACTTTCCTACTACTTTAACACTTGCACTGTGAAAGCTCAAAGGTGTTTTAGATCTAAGTAAAATGTTAATGGAAGAGTCATATTAGCGTCATTTGAATCTACAATTCATAAGCTACATGTTAACTTTTCAACAATATAAGAGTCATATTGTTGTTTACATAGTGGGCATTTAGTAATATTTGAGATTGATGATGGGCATTTAAGTCATTTTGCCCCTCAATTCTAGCTTCTCGCTTGAGCAGCTTCAGAAAAGCACTTCCGGAGCCATTCAAAGAATAATCTCCTTTTTGACTTAATTTAAGCTAAAAGTTGATCACTTAAGCTAGACCGAACACTCAAAAACTACTTAATTTAAGCTAAAAGCTGAAATAAGCTGATTTTAAGCTCTACCAAATGGGACTAAAGAGATAAGTAAAAGCGGCACGTAAACAATACTACAGATATTTTGTTTTTTAGATGGGAGATACAAAAATGAATAAAATTGGAATATGGATGGAATATAATAAAGTAAAATACTCCTTATAAAATGAGATACGGAACAGAATCACTATGAAAAAAATTTGGGAGCTGCAAAGAAAGCTTCGAGTTCATATTGATGGTAGGTTTAGAACAAGAATTGAATTCTATAATATCGATTTAGTCTAAAGTTCGTGTGAACTTGGAGTCTTGCTGGAAAATAGATTTGTGTTGCATAGTAACTGAGTCTTGTCCATTGCAGTCTGTGGAGTTGTCTTCTAATACTAACATCTCATATAACAAGTAATAAAATACAATAAAAAACATGCCTTAAGCTGGAGTTCTCGATTGCTTTAAATCTTGTGAAAATTGAATGTTTTCACTAATTTACTTGTAAATCCATTACAGAGGTGACTTGTTGGATAGTTACCGGGGAAAGACAGGCAGAGCGCATAAGGCAATTGTACTTGAAAACAATATTAAGACAGGACATTGCATTCTTCGACACTGAAACTACCACCGGAGAGGTCATTGGTAGAATGTCTGGTGATACAATTCTCATTCAAGATGCTATGGGTGAAAAGGTTACTTAAGACTCCTTTCTTCAAAACTTGCTGCTAAATACAATCAATTAATGCACCTAAGTCAGTTTCTGAAAAAAAATTCATTACTTGCAATGCTATGACAGGTAGGAAAGTTCATACAACTGATGTCAACATTTATCGGAGGATTTACCATTGCCTTTGCTAGAGGATGGCTTCTCTCATTAGTCTTGCTTATGTGCATTCCCGCTCTAGTCATTGCCGGTGGAGGCATGGCCATAATCATGACAAGAATGTCTAGCCGTGGACAAGTTGCTTATGCAGAGGCTGGAAATGTTGTTGAACAAACGGTCGGAGGCATTAGAACAATGAGGCACCACAAAACTTGTAGTAATAAATTGTTGTCCTGAATTTTCTAAAGTCCTGAATTTTGCGACCCTCTTTATGACAGGTGGCATCCTTCACTGGAGAGAAGCTAGCGATAAATAAGTACAACAGCAAACTGCAGATTGCCTATGCCGCTACTACTCAACAAGGGTTGGCTTCTGGGATAGGACTCGGTACAATGTTAGTAATCATTTTCAGTAGTTATGGACTTGCCATATGGTATGGATCAAAACTGATCATCGACAAGGATACAATGGCGGAGTAGTCATTAATGTCATCATGGCCATCATGACTGGTGTAATGTAAGCGTAAAAATTTCTAGCCACAGAAAAACAATGTGCTAATACCCTCTTAATTCTGTAATTGTGCCCCTAATTCTATTTTGACTGATTGATCTGAGTTGGGTTTCGCTTCATATAGGTCATTGGGCCAGACGTCCCCGTGTTTGAATTCATTTGCTGCAGGGCAAGCAGCAGCATACAAGATGTTTGAGACAATCAAGCGAAAACCACAGATTGATGCGTATGACACAAGTGGGATTGTAATGGAAGATGTAAAGGGCGAAATTGAACTGAAAGACGTGCACTTCAGATACCCAGCCGGGCCCGACGTTCAGATATTCTCTGGATTCTCTTTACAGGTTCCAAGTGGCACAACCACAGCCTTAGTTGGGCAAAGTGGAAGCGGGAAATCAACAGTTATCAGCCTATTGCAGAGATTCTATGACCCTGAAGCCGGTGAAGTGCTCATAGATGGTATGAATTTGAAGAAGTTTCAACTCAAATGGATAAGCGAGAAAATGGGTCTTGTTAGTCAAGAGCCTATTTTGTTTGGCACTACAATAGGAGAGAATATAGCATATGGAAAGGAAAATGCTAACAATGAAGAGATTAGAACAGCAATAGAGCTTGCTAACGCGGCCAAGTTCATCGACAAGCTTCCAAAGGCAAATCTTCCCCCTCCCCTCTCCCTTTTTTATAGTAATTCTTTCACTTGTAATGACTGATCTAATTAGCACTAGTAAAAATTTGTTTATAGGGGCTTGACACTATGGTAGGAGAGCATGGAACCCAACTATCTGGTGGACAAAAGCAAAGAATAGCAATTGCAAGAGCAATTCTAAAGAACCCGAAAATTCTTCTCCTTGATGAAGCAACAAGCGCTCTAGACGCCGAGTCAGAACGTGTTGTACAAGATGCGCTGACAAACATTATGTCAAACAGGACTACTGTGGTAGTTGCACACCGTCTGACAACAATCAGAAATGCTGACCTTATAGCAGTGGTGCAAGAGGGGAAAATCGTGGAACGAGGTATAAACCATATCATCACTCCTCCAACTTGAAAGTTCAGTTTTTTAGTACTCACCCATTTTAAATTTATTAAGTCAAAACCAACTTCAAAATTCAATGCCAATTGCCAGGAACTCATGGTGAGTTGATCAAGGATCCAGAAGGGGCTTACTCACAGCTCATTCGCTTACAAGAAGGGACTAACAAAGCTGAAGATCTGCGAAGGAGTGACATAGATAATCTTGATACAATTCAGGATGTAGACATAACAATGGGCAGGTCTGCAAGCCAGATATTATCCATGAGAAGATCCATAAGCAGAGGTTCATCAGGTAGCCAACGCTCTTTCAGAATTAGCTTTGGACTACACGGCCCTATTGGAATCCAAACAGATATAGAAGGAGAGGAGAGTAGTAAAAGAAGTGAGACAGATTATAAGAAACGACGCCAAGTGTCCATTAAACGCCTAATGTACCTAAACAAACCAGAGTCGCCGGTTTTGCTGCTTGGATCCATTGCTGCAGGCATTAATGGTGTAACCTTCCCTATATTTGGACTCCTACTTTCAACAGCTATTAAAATTTTCTATGAACCACATGATGAGCTAAGAAAGGACTCAAGGTTTTGAGCACTTATGTTTGTGGGACTCGGTGTTGTTATTCTGTTTGTCGCACCAGTGCAGAATTACTTCTTTGGAATTGCAGGTGGTATGTTGATAATGCGAATTCGCGCCTTGACGTTTGAGAAGGCTGTCCATCAAGAAATCAGTTGGTTTGATAACCCTAAAAATTCAAGGTGTGTTTTAGTAATTAGCACTTTTGATTGATCAAATGCTCTCTATTTCAAAAGGCCTTTTGAACTGAAAGTTTTGAATTCATTTCAGTGGTGCAGTTGGAGCAAGGTTATCTACTGATGCTTCAACAGTGAACAGTCTTGTGGGTGATTCATTGGCCCAAATTGTACAGAACATAACAACAATTATAGCAGGGCTTGTCATATCGTTCACAGCTAATTGGATGTTGGCACTCATAATTCTATCTGTGTTGCCCTTGGTGGGATTGCAAGGATTCTTTCAATTTAAATTCTTGAAAGGGTTCAGTGAAGATGCCAAGGTCAGTCCATTATGCTAAGTTATGGCCAGAGCCATTTTAGCACAGTTAAGACTGTAAAACACACCAAACTACTCAAACTCAACGTTTGAAATTGGCTTGTTATGTAACTAGCTAAGTTTGAGCACATTTACCTCAAATTCTATTCGAGAAGGTTACATACATTATATGAAAATCGAGCTATTTGAGCTCAACTCGAGTAAAGCTCGTTTGAGATTGGCTTGAAAGGTAAATAAGCTATACTTGAACAAAATTTGAAACTTGTTAAGTTTTCAAGTCAACCTTAAAGAACTGACTACTTGACTTGCCTCATTTATAGCCCTAAGCATAAGTGTATAGCAGACATTTAAATGAGAAGGGGTGGATTTTTTGGGGATTAATCTTTATCACATACTAACCAAGTTAGATTTTTGTAAATGTCTGTAGGTGATGTATGAAGATGCAAGCCAAGTTGCAAACGATGCTGTGGGCAGCATTAGAACAGTTGCATCATTTTGTGCTGAAAAGAAAGTGATAGAAATGTATAAAAACAAATGTGACGCCCCCATGAAACATGGAGTTAGGATAACAAAAAAAAAAAACATATGGGGAAATTAGTGGGTACCCATCCCCTGTGGATATTTAAAGAATATCACTTACCTTACCCAATGGATAAAAAAAAGAGGGGAAAACGCATGTATTTAGGTTGGGTCTCCGTGAATACCCACAGGATAGGTTATCCATTGCCATCCCTACCCATGAAACATGAACATGGAGTTAGGATTGGACCTGTGACTGGTATTGGCTTTGGTTCTAGTCTTTTTGCACTGTACTGCACAAATGCCTTCTGTTTCTACATTGGAGCTGTTCTAGTGCAACATGGGAAAGCTACTTTTGGGGAAGTTTTCAAGGTATAAAATAAATTTGTAGTGTTTTTTTTTTTTTTAAAACCTTCACTTTCTAATTTCACATTTTCTCCACTTCCAAACAAATGGTTTTGCAGGTTTTCTTTGCTTTGACAATTTCAGCAATGGGTATTTCCCAAACCACTGCTTTTGCCCCAGACACCAACAAAGCTAAGGACTCTGCTGCTTCTATCTTTGAAATTATTGACAGCAAGCCCAAGATTGATTCAAGCAGCAATGAAGGCACAACGCTGGCAACCATAAATGGAGATATTGAGTTCAAACATGTCAGTTTCAAATACCCAACACGACCCGATGTTCAAATTTTCAGAGATTTATGCTTAACCATTCCTTCTGGAAAGGTAATAACCAGGCACAAGCACAGCCTCTTTGTTCTCCAATAACTTTTGCTCAATTTTGCTAAGTTAAAAATTTTATCACAGACTGTTGCTCTTGTTGGGGAAAGTGGTAGTGGGAAGTCCACCGTAATAAGCCTAATTGAGAGGTTCTATGATCCCGAGTCCGGCCATATATTTCTAGATGGAGTGGAGATCCAAAAGCTCAAACTGAGCTGGTTAAGGCAACAAATGGGGTTGGTAAGTCAAGAACCAGTACTTTTCAATGAAACAATCCGGACTAACATAGCTTATGGGAAGCAAGGAGAGGCTGCTGAAGAAGAGATCATTGCAGCTGCGAAAGCAGCGAATGCACACAACTTCATATCGGCATTGCCACATGGCTATGACACCAATGTCGGGGAGAGAGGGGTTCAATTATCGGGCGGTCAGAAGCAACGGATAGCCATTGCAAGGGCTATAGTGAAAGACCCTAAGATCCTCTTACTTGACGAAGCAACGAGTGCGTTAGATGGAGAGTCAGAGCGTGTGGTGCAAGATGCATTGGACAGAGTGATGGTGAATAGAACTACCGTTGTTGTCGCTCACCGGCTCACCACCATTAGAGGTGCTGATGTAATAGCCGTTGTGAAGAATGGGGTGATTGCAGAGAAAGGAACACATGATGTGCTCATGAAGATCACTGATGGTGCATATGCATCTCTAGTGGCACTTCACATGACATCCTCAAAGTAGACACAAACCATTGATTGACTCCAGCTGCTTCTTTTTTCTTTTCTTTTTTCCTTTTTCTTTTTTTAATCTCTGTTTTTGTTAGAATTTACCAATTTACTCCTCCACCTACCATCTCCACTAGCACCCACTTCACCTACCACCTCCACTACACTACACCTACTACCCAATCCTCTCCTATATAATTAGTACCTCACCATCTGTAATTCATATATCACAACAACAATCTTGTAATTAAT